AGTAAAATGCTTTTCCTTCTCATGTGCCGTTTCCAAGGTGTTCCCCTGCCTGGCCTCTCAGACTGTGGTCTGTTCTGATGAAACAAATTTTGGAGTCATCAGTGTGAAGTTGACAGTTAAACCTGAGACTGGCTGAGATCACGCAGAGTGAGTGTTGAGAGAGAAGGGAGGTCTGAGGACCTGCCCAAAACAGACAGGCTGAGACAAAACACATGCAGACTACCTTCCTTTCGCTCTCCCCCAGGTCTGGTTCCCTCTCCTTCAGCTCCATTCCCCAGGGCCTCTAACACCACAGGGGTCAGAACAGGCCCCAGACTGAGGTGGCAAACAAGGGAACACCTTGGGAAACAGCACATGCAAAGGAAAAGCATCTAGTTCCAAGAGGAAACTGATTTGATCTAAAAAAATCTTTAATGTTTTCACCAAGGAATAAAAACTTGTGACAATCTTTGTTCTCTTTGACACAGAATTTGTCTTAGTCTATATTTCAAAGTGAATTCTAGATATTCCAAACACTAAAACCTCCTAATAACTTAGAAAGATGTGGCTTCTAAGATTCTCACTAGTATGAGAACTGCATTTGAGAGTTGTTTTTTCCTTAACACTAAACATTAGTGTATGTTATAAAAAGAAAATAGTGTGGGACTCAATATATCATATGAAAACACAGAAAGACCACAGAACAGAACAAGCCAAAAAGTAGACTCGTGATTTATACAGTGATTTAGACTATGACGGGGTGGCTTCTCAGATCACTAAAGGAAAGACAGATTATTAAAAAGAAAAAAAATCATCAGGGCTGGGACACAGTCACTCAGAAAAAGAAAAAACTGGATCCACACCTCATACCGTATACCAGAATAAATTCCACATGGATCAGAGATGTGAATTTCAAAAATAAAGGGATATGGTTGTGTTCCAAAGAAACTTCTCTGATTTAAAAAAAAAAAAAAAAGGCAGGAAGCTTGTGGGCAATAGTTTGCCTCTTCCTGATATATAGAAATACAGAAGGAAGAATTTGAAAACTTACATATGTATATATGTTTACTTTTGAAAAAAACCAAAAGTATAGGAAGAAACACCAGAAACTTATAAAGAGATTACTCACAGCGGATGGATGGGAACCAGGTGGAGGGAAGAAGGGCGTGAGCAAGACATCGCTGAGGACACCTTGGTACATAATCTCCATTTCTGATTCATGTAAGTGTTTTACGTATGCAAAAGTCAATTAAACAACTACGAATACAAACAACTACGTAAACCTAATTGTGCATTAAAAAATTTGAGCTCTTAATCCAAATGAGAAAGAATTCAAGTAACTTCTGAAAGCAGCATCTAAACCTTTAGTGTGATATATTTTAAGGACATGAAGAACTGCAAAGAAATCTTGAGCTTTACTTAAGAGGTTTTTATTGGTATTTCATTAGTGATGTAATTACAAAACTACTTCAAGTGTGTGAAAGGACAGAGCCTATTTTCAAAAATGTGTTTCCCAGCTCTGTTCACTGAAGGAGCCTAGAAGCAATGCTGTCCCAAGAGCAATGAGCAGTGTGTGCTCAGGTCTTGAATTCTAAAAGTGTTCTCCACCAAAGGGGCCAATGCTCTTTGGAGCAGTGGCTGACTCAAGGACTAGACAAGGAAAATACAAAGTAAGTTTGGAATATGACTACTGTAGCAGAAAGCAAGCAGGTGCTCAAACACTAATAAGGAATAGCAAAGGTAAAAAGGCCACCCTGAAGGAGTTCCCTGGTTAACCTGGGACAATCTGAGCATTAATCATTATTATTATGGGAAAAAAATGATGGAAATGAACTACAACACAATGAATAACAATAAAATCCATGGGTCTACAATTTTTTTTTTAAAAAAAAGGTAATTCAGAGAGAAAAATGAAAGCTCTTCTTTATTAAAAAACAAAAACAAAACCAAAAAACCCTGTAATTGATATAGAATAAATGAGGGAATTAGAAAATTAACATTTTGCAAATCCTTGACTGACTCACATGAATGGATACTAAAACCACTAGGTGAAAGATTGTAGAGAACAGAATTCAAAGCGGCACCCCACAGTGATTACTAATTATCATAAAGGAAAAAAAAACAAAATTCACACTGGAGAGTTCTCAAGGTCACCACCTAAGCCAAGTTATCAAACTCAGCAACACCAATAAAGAACCAGTTTGATATGCCAAGAAGCATGCAGTATCACTCATTCTTGCCAAAAACCTTCAACTTGAATCTAATCATGAACAATTTAGAGAAATGCAGAGTGTGAGACATGCTACAAGTCAGCTGGCCTGCATTCCTCAAAAGGGCAACATCGTGCTGAGGCTGGGGGCTGCGCTGAGGTCAAGAGAGACTAGAGACAAGCACCAAATACAATGTATGAACTCTGACTGGGTCCCGGACCCATAAAAGACACTTTGGTGGGGAAATGGGGAAATTTAAATATAAACTATCTATTAAATATTATTAAATCACAATGCAATGACCTAGATGAGTTCATGATACTGTGATTATCTGGAGAATGCTGTGAATCCTAAGAGATGCATGCTGAAATATTTGGAGGTAAAATGTCATGACATCTACATCTTACTTTCAAATGGTTTAGGGGGGAAAAGTAGAGGAGAGGTGCTGGAGGAAGTAAGGGAAAAGGGTAGAAAGAACAGGAACAAAATTTTAATAGTGCTATTTTGAAAGTGACAACTGGAAAGAAATTTAATGTCTCTTCTTTGAGAAAAATAAAATATATTCCTGTGTATATCATAAGAGAAACTGATGTGGAAAGAACCGCAATGATGTGGTAAAAATATTTTTTTGGCTTACCTTTCATTTAAGACTTAGTACAAGGGATTAAGGACCAACATGATATGTAATCTTGACTTTAGAACTGGACTCTGAACCAACAGACATTTAGCACTGGTTTGCTCCAACTCATAGGAACCCATGACTGCACTCACTGCAGCTATAAAATGGGGCAAGGACCAGAAAAAGTCTCAGCCTTTACATAGCATTCTTGGTGTCAGGCTGGCCTAGGTAAACTAAGAGATGGATTAAACCACAAGGAATCACAAAGACTCACCGCAGTGGAAACCTGTTCAGTCTGGAAGCTACCTGCTCTAAAATCCCTAAAAATCCACAGAGGCTAACAGAAGTGGCTAAAGGTAGCAGCCATCATGTCATATTCTAGAGGCCACTCTCTAGAATCATGTTATACGACACTCCCATGTTTTACAGTCGCAGAGCTCAGAGGCCTGCATTATTACCTTCTTATGCACCACTGTTAATCACAGGTACTAGCATCACGCTTAGTGCTTTTCCTCTATCATATGTTCAAGCCTCAGAATAACTCTTCCCAAAATGTATTATTATTGCTACTTTATAGGGGTAAGTAATTTCCCCAAGTTTATACAAGTAGCTAAGTGCTGAAACCTGAATTTCAACCTAGGTGAGTCTGAACCAGATGTCCACAGTTTTAAACTTATTGTGATGCTGCTTCCTGTGGGAAAAACAGGAGAGATGATAACTGCCACATCTTGATGAGCAGGCAAATCCTGCCCTTTTGAGGGTGGGAGGAATGTAGGAAGGACATGTGGCAGCAAGTTGGAGGACTGCTCTCTCCTCACTCGAAACTATTTCAGAGACATGGATATTCATTCTAGATGGTCCAAGAGGGCCAGTTGCCTCTCTAGGTCACAAGCATTCCCAGATGCTTATAGCAGCTCCAGAGGATCTTATTCATAGTTATGTCCAATTCTTAACACCAAAAGCTAAGACTTTGGCAAAGTGATACGCCTATTCTTAAGGCTCTTAATGGAACTTGCAGTTAAGGAAGATTCCTGATACTCAAATAACCTTTGCTTTTCTTGACCTAGTATTGCTTCTCCCAAACAGATCCTTCATGTAGAAGGTCCTGCAACTCATTAGAGGGATGAAGAAATTGAGGCCAGATAGGTTAAAACACTTGTTCAAGGTCTGAGATAATAAATGGCACAGACAGGATTTAAAACCATACAGTCTGGTTCCAAAACCTGCGCCTCTCAACCACCATACTCTGCCATCTCTCTACACAGAACAAGGGATCAGCCTCTGGTATAAGCAGTAGAAAGGCCAGGAAGGCTAAGCCACATTCCCACTGCATACATAATTTTCTTCAATCCTTATCCCATAGGGAGCACTAGTACATCCATCCAGAAGCTAAGCAATGGTAAACACCTTGCTCAACACCATCCAGCTATGTGATAATGGAATCTGCATCCTCAGCCCCACAATGCAAGTCCCATGCTGCTCAGATAGTGCTGCCACGTGCACTGTGACATTAGATTATTCTTCCCAGGAACTCTGAAGCAAGAAGATAGGTCGATGAGACAATACTGGATGGTCATAGCATCAATACTTGTGTTGCTTGCAGCAAGAGCTTACAGTAAACACAAGACATCTTCTGGCAGGGTGGTGGTACACGTGTACCATTCTCTGTGAATGAACAGTGTGGGTTGGACAAACTACAGAATTCACCCACAATAACTAACAGGCAATTCCGTTCTGCTTAGAAAGTCAAGAACACAGAATGAATGAACTTTGAAAACATATGAATGAACTTTGAAAACATTATGCCCAGAGGGAGGCAAGGCATAAAAAGAACCACAGACTGTATGATTCTATTGATAAGAAATGTCCAGAACAGGCAAATCAGAGTCAGAAGTTGATATTGCCAAGGGCTGGGAGGTTGGGGGCATGGGGGACATGGAAATTGACTACTACCAGATACAGGGTTTCTTTAGTGGTGTGATAAAAATGTTCTAAAATTAACCGTGATGATGGTTGCACAACTCTATGCTTCTACGAAGAATGATCACATTGCACTCTGTGATGCGTGAATGATTGGTATGTGAATTGATACTATCTCAATAAAGCTGCTACAAAAAAATAAAGCAACAACATAGTAGTGACACCCCCATCCCACCCACTGCCACCCATCCGCAGGAGTTGCTGGTACTCACTTTGATGCTTTCATGGAATCATCTGCCCAGCCGCCCAGCCTGCGAGGAGGCTTGGGAGGGGGAGCCTGTAAGGAAAGAGAAGCCAAAATGATAGTCACTGGATGTGCACATTCAAATGTGGCTGAGGTTCAGGTCACCTAAACCAACAGTCAGCGTATCAAAGCACTTCCCTGAGAAAAATACAAAAATAAAATGTATATGAATAAAAATATATAGTAAGCTTTCTAATTTACTATGAAAATCTGGGTGTTTTCAGAGCCTCCTGGTGGATAGATAAACTGGCACAGTGTTCGTGGAGGGCAATTCTCAGATGTGCATTGAAAGACTTAAAAATGCTCACACTTGTGTGTGTTCACTGGGGATGGAACCCAGGACCCTATGTATACCAAGCACAGACTAACTGTAACACTGAGGTCTGCTCCAGGCTGCTCCTGTTTTCTTAGCCAGTGATTCTAATCCCAGGAATTTATCCCAAGGAAATAACCAGAGGAACATGAATGCTGCTTCAATGAATAGTTGGAAACAACCAAAATGGTCAGCGATAAGGAATTAAATTATAGAGTACATATGAAAGTAATAAAGATATGACTGAGCCTTGCTTCGAAGACATAAACATAATTCGTGGGTTCAAAGTCTATTTGCCTAGAATGGACACATTCAGAAACCCAATGAATTCCTGTCCAGCACGTTTTAACTGAAAATACCAAGGGCACAACCACCAATCCACTAAGTTGCTTGAGGTGGGTAAAACAAGATAGAACATTGCCTAGTTGGACTTGCTCAGCATTTTCCCAAGATGGTTTCTGAAACTGTCAATTTTCTTTTTCTGAGAAATTTATAGAATTATAACTTTGGCTCTCAGTCTAAGGAAGTACACTGATAAAAGGACTGAAGAGAGGTGGGGGAACTTTCTACAAGAGCTATAAAAACACATTTTTAAAAAATTTTGTGGGTCTCATGATTTCTGGTGCAACTACAACAGCCATAGGGAATAAGCATGCAAAGGAGTGTAGCTGAGGTTCAAGAACACTTTACAGAAACAGGCAATGGGCCAGGTTTGGAGGGAAGGACATGGTCTGTTGACCCCTGGACTACATTGTGTGTCACAGAGGCCTCCTTTTTAAAAGTGGCTTAAAACCACACCTGGAACTTTTAAAGTGAATATCACCTTCAAAGTGCCTTTACACCTTTATACTTTTGATATTTTAATTTTATACCAAGATATGTCTTTTTTCCTGCTTCTCAAGTAGTGCTCCAGCCTGCCAAGGATGGGCTCCGTGTACTTGTGTACATGTATGTACTCTATGTACAGGCTGCCTGAGCCACAGCCTGCTGGAATCACTGTTGCGAATCCAAATCCTGGGACGCCTGTATCCACTTAGCCTCTGGGAATGTAAGTAGCACTTCAGAGAAAACAAACTGAAGCTCTCTATGCCAAAGGCAGGCGAGAGCTGCTTGAAGGCTCCCATATACCTCAGCAACAATACAAATATTGAAGTGGAAACCAGCTACTGTTTGACCATGCAGAAGGGAAATTCTAAGATGTACTAACCGATGATACCACTGCTTCCCCAGTCACTCCATAATCCTCCATCCATAGGCTGGAAGGGGAAGCCCTCTATCCCCTAATTCCCCTTCACTTTTGCACAACTGACTGAGCCAGGGCTGTACAACACTCAATCAGAACCAGCTGGATTCCCTGTCCCAGGAATCTGGAGCTGAAGCACAGAGGCGAGCTGGCTCACACTGGAACTAAAAGGACCCTAGAATCCGAATAACCTAAGAACGCCACAAGCCAGAGGTGGGTGTAGGCAGAATCCAAGGACCCTGTCTGGAACTCTTCCAATGCACAAGGTACAGTGCTGGGGAGACAAAATGATAAAGTGAATTGAACTACACTGAGATCCCCTGAGTCTGGCCTGCAGTTATCTTTCCTGTGCTTTTGTGAATAATACTCTTTACCCAAGGATAGGACCATCTTGTGATAATGTAAGTAATGTCATAAATTGATAGCCATGTTTTGTTTGCCCACACAATTTTTTGTTTTTGTTTTAAATTTAAGCTACCGTTTATAATATGGAAGATTTCCACATAAAAAAGTCACTTTCCAGCTTGTGAAAAACTGAAATATCCAGTAAGTAATGCTTGGGTTGAGCAGGAGCTGCCCCCTCAAGGCAGGACACGTGTACTGCAGTTTGCCACAGGTCCCACCCTCCCTGTCTCCTTCCTTACTTTTAAGTGACACTGCCATCCATTATTATTGCCTTGCGCTATTGTTTCTCTCTCAGTATAGAATTCTCTCTTTGTTCCTACGAACACCTAAAGTGGGAAAATGAAAACTATGTTACATGTTTTGAAAAAAATGGGAAATGAGAAAAATGGGAGCGTGTTGATCTTTCTTACGTGTTCAGTGTGCAAACTGAAAGCACACCCGCCTTAGCCCTAGACCCGTTCACTTCCTGACACCTGGGTGTGTGGCTCCTGAACTAGATTCCCAGTGCCAGGATCCTTCGCCTTCTTCTCTTTGCTCTAGATGTTGGGAAGGGCAGAGGAATCCAAGTAAAATCCATGGTGCCACGATGTGGGGAGTGTCCCAATCTATACAATGCCAAGGGTCCACAACAGGAGATGGCACGTGTGACTCCTAACACCACCTCTACAATGACAACAGGAAGAGCAGAGACTGCACTGGGACAGGATTGCAAAAGATTAGGCGGCATGGAGGAGGAGCACCGAGTAACCCCTAAAACTGGGGAGGATTCAATCAGTGATTCGATGTTAAAAGCTTAAAACAGTGCCTGGCACATAATAAGAGCTCTAGGTTTCCCATGATCACTGCCATCATTATTACTTATACCCACATGGGACAGGGTAGACCATGTGTAGTAAAATATGCAATCGATGGGGGGGCGTGGCGAGGAAAGACTCCTTTGTGTCTGACCTGATCTTGTAGTTACTCTACTAATGGGTGTCACGTGACTGACTAAAAGAGCTCCCTAAGAGTCTAAAAACCAAAATGATTTGCTTTGTCTCCTTGAACCAAACCCTAGGAAGCCATGGCTACTAGAGGGTGAGTGAAGGTCCTCTCTGCTTTAGGAAACACAAAGCCACGTTTTCTTTCATTTTCTCCCCATTACAAAATGGTGCTGGCAGCTGCAAAAAGCTCAGCACATACAAGTCACTCCTTCATATCTGGTACAGTTTAATAACTAGATCTAAAATCAGAAGTTTTCTTTACTAAGGACAGATGCCTTCAAGAGTTGACATAATATTATAAAAATTGTATAGGCTGCTGATTTTCATTTCCCCCAAACATCAAGAGCTCCTGGGAGAGGAAGCCCAGAGAAGATACAAAGAAATCCTGAGTGAAACATGCTAGAGACTACTGGGGTCCTCTCTGCTCACCCTACCCCACTGTCAGCAAGCCTCAGGAGGGCACTGAGGGAGGGGGAGATGGGGAGAGAGAAGCAGAACTTAGCTCTCTGCAAAGTGAGGCCGGGGCATCTAGGGAGATGTTAATCTCCTGATGGGAATCCTTCCGTTTGTTCATGGTTTAGAATTCTGAGCCCTAGGCCTGGAAATGTTTCTGTAAACACTGGAAATGTTTCTGTCATGTCTACATACAGATGCCCTGGCTGGATGACGCAGGCTTAATTAACTACTATTGCCAAATTATAAAGGCTCTTCCCTAGAATTCAACTTTGTTCCCTTTTTATGGAGTTGGGCACTGTCCTAACAACAACAACAAAAAAGACGACATCACCCTGTCCCCTAATGTTACTCAGTAATGAGGTCAAGGAGAGGTAGAATTCAGGGAGTATCAGGTAGGTGAACTCTGTGACTGGGTCAGGATCAATCTGAAATCCAGGAGGACACGATGGAGGTGGAGGTGGGAGGGAGGGAGTCCTGGCATTATTCCAGGGAGAGGCCCCTCCAGGGTCCAACGGTGAAGCTGAGGTGGAGTCTCTCAGCCACAGGGCAGCACTACCGACTTCTGCAGTTTCCTCCTCACCCTGGAGGACTTTATGGGGCCACTTTCTCCTGGGGCATCATTAAAGCAGCACTCTGATGAGCATGCACACAGCTTGCAATACATGACCAAAAGCTAAAAATAACTCTACCCACCAGGGAAGTCCAGACAAGAAGAGAGGCCAAAGAAGCTTTATGGGAACTGGGGCTTGCCCTGGATTGGAAAGGTAAAGGAGAAAGCATTCCAAAAGCAACTGGATCCAAGGGTAGAGTGGGATCAGGGGTAGCACGTACTTCATCACCATCGTGGTGGGGGTCCCGGGAAAAACCGCTGGGCTGAGCCCTTCAACATCCATTACTTTTACATACAGGCCTTAAGTGGAAGCTGATGTAACAAGATCATAATGTGGCGGTTTGAAATTGAGTGCAAACGACCTGTTGGAAACAGAAGCAGACGCTGTTCTTGGTCAGGTCATCGAAAAGGTCTGGTGGTTCCTTTAGCACCATCAGCCCCTGAATGCCTGGCTGCTCTTCTTAGGAACTCTGGTGATGTCTAGACACCTTGTTAGCTCTGTTCCCAAGAGAGTCCCAGGGCTCCCTCCCTGGTGCAGTCTGAAACACAGGACATACACCTAGACCAGACCACTGTGGTGACTCCTTCTAGCTGCCACAACTGCTGTGCTTTCTCTTCCCAGAGGTGGCAGACAGGATGCTGGGGACCTGCAGGGGCCTGAATGCCACCACCAGCTCAAAGGTCCCTATTTGGACTGATGAGAAGTTGAAACCCTTTAATCAGGGACCCTTCCATCTGAGACAGGGTCCTTCCCTTTCAGGTAGGGTCAGAGGAGACATAAATGCAGGGCTTATTTTTTCTTGGGTTTATGTGCTCACATTCTCTGTAAACAATCTTTAGGGCTATAACAGGGCATTTTCTTCCTGGAACCCATCTCCAGAACCAAACACCTGGGGGCACACTGCCAATTAGTTTCAGGGTGTGCTTTGGAAGAAACTGATTTGTTATCCCTGTAATAGGGAGGAGAGGGGAAAAAACTAGATAAGATTAGAGCTCAAATGACCTTAAGTGCCATAAATAAGAGAAGGCCTGACCCTAGAAAATTCAAAAGCACTGATTTATTCGTTAAATGACTCTGCTTCTGAGATCCAGGGGCACTGCCCCAAGATGTCAGCTGGAGAAACAATTTCCAATTCTGGCTGATTTACTGCCAGGTAACATTACCCCAACTTTTTTTTTTTTTTTTAAATAGAAAGAGTCTTAAAATATGCAACACCAAGAAGGACAGAAATAGGAAGGGTGACGTAGCCCTTGCAGCGCATCCCTCTGTTCTCCCTTGAAAGCGGAGTCACGTCTCGGAGTGTGGGAAATGAGCAGAGCCTGCCGGGGCTGCCGCCCGATGGACGGAGGGGGCAGGACCCTGCATAGCTCCTGAAGAGAGGCAAAAATGTGCTGCTCCAAAAATAAACAGGGGCAGGGACGTGGGCGAGTGAGGAGCTGCGAGCACGTGACCGCGGTCCTGAAATACCAGCTCTCTACAAAAAGGAGCCTGTGCGAGGCAGAGCGCGGGAAATTCAGGAAATGGCCTCTTTATATGGTCCCATCCGAATGGGCCGGGATTCAACCAACTGGAATGACTGTGTCAGAGGGAGCTTTTCAGGCCAGACTTATTTCTGATCTTTATATGGTTCCCCCAGATTCTTAAGATGCCTACACAGAAAAGATGCTGGCAGTGCCAAAAAAGGAGCCTTTTGAGTTTAGAAACTTCCCCCACACTCTCAGGAGTCTTGGAGAAACCCCCCTGTCCACCCCCAAAATATGAACCAGCCGAGAGCTCTGAATCCAAACAGCAACCTGTTTCAAAAAGCCAGTTCCAGCACTCACATAAATTCCCCACAGAAAGACATTTAGTTAAGCAGGATCCAGCACTAATGCCGCACCTAAACAGCTTCCAGCTTCTAGGGAGCAGACAACTCCCACGTTCAAACCTGGACTCCTAACTAAACACAAGCTTCCCTTTCTTAATCCAGAAGACAGATGACAGATGCTTACTAATGGGTGCAGACCACACAGGGGCTGGCACTGGCTCCTCCAATCTGTCCCATTTATTCATCCTGCCCCAAACCCTGGATCTGACCCAAGTCTTCCCACAGTAGATTTAAGGTTAAGGAAGGTAACGGATCATCTGAGCTTTCAAAGAATCCCTGTGAGTAATCCCAATTCTCTCAAGTCGAAATGGATGCATCTTAATACAAACTGATCATGGAGGTTGGGGGACTACTACTCTAAAGTAAAAAGAGACTGTAAGAGAGAAAAATGTAATGGTTGTAGTTGGACACAATGCCTTTATTTTATTTATTTATTTTTATATGGTTCTGAGGATTGAATTGAGCGCCTTGCACATGCTAGGCGAGCGCTCTACAGCTGAGCTACGACCCAGGCCCCATGGTGTGATTCTTGATTGAATCCCATGACTTGATGTGGTGGGCACAACTACATACCAAGTTTACAGATGAGGAAACTGCAACTTAGAGGTTAACTCACCTAAAATCACATCATTTGTAAACAACAGAGCAAGGATTCAAACCCAGACCAGTCTGATGGTAGATCTTTACTGGACCAGCTGAGGTGTCACGACTTCCCAGCAGCTAGCATGTGTCAGCTAGCACTGGCTTGGAAGGGCTCCACAGCCACAGAGGAATCGATGTGGGTTGGAACAAAGTTCTGAAGAACAAGACAGCCTAGATCGGTACCATCCAGCCTGATGTGGAGAGAAGACTTGGGAAGTCCAAACCCAAAGGACCATGTCCTTCATTTATTTTCTGGGGACAAAGTAAGGAGTATCTACTGAAGGTATAGATACATTCAATAAGACAGGAGAACGAGAAAGCAGCTTGGGCTCACCCTTACCCTGTGGGTGAGGCTGACACTGAGAGAAGGGTTAAGGGCAGAGTCAGGATTAGAAAGTGATGCCAAAAATAAGCTGTGACAGCTGGAGCGCTGTGCCAGACTGTGCAGGGCTGGTTACAGTATAAATCTGTGCACTTGAAAGTTACTGGGTCCTTAATGCATGTCATAAGCCAGACTCCTCACACCCACAGGACAGTAGCTTTCGAGAACCTGGGACTAACTTGAGGGGAGAAGGGAGTGTACAAGTGGGAAGCAAGCAGGGGAAAGCTGAAGTTTCAGAAGGTGCAAGAATTGGGGACAGGGAGGAAAAAGGGGACGGGAACAGTCCTGGGTTCAAATCTAGAACTGCCCCTTTCTAGCTGCATAGCCTTGGGCTGGTCACATCCTCACTAAGCCTCTTTTTCCTCATTTGTAAAATGAAAATGAT